GTTCTTACTCTGGGTTAATGGACTGCAATTATATTAGACAGTTCCACTAAGCTTGGGAGAGCACCTTCCTTTAAAAAAGTTATTTTAGCATTTAGATTGCTATCGATTACCCCCTTTTTTATAGACCATATCTAGAGTACAGCTTACAGTATGTAACATCACTTATTCTTGGATAATTGATCTGAGTAGCTTGTCCCATTTAAGACCAATTTTGATTTACATCAGGCAGTTTAGTAAAGCTTGGGAGAGTGTATTCACATTTAATTAGTTTTTCCAGCATAGAGACTGACACAGAACAGCTTTTAAACTGTATGTAAAATACAGCTCAAAGTATGCAATCCTGACAGAATGTATGACTCCCTTGGGAATATACTGTGTTGGTTTACATCTTTTTAATATACTGTTAAAAGATTTAGGCATTATTGGTAAGCAGGGTTTTTTTCCCCTTTAAGAACCCCATCGCTGTATTTTATGCACTAAATTTACTTTATGATTTAATTTCAGGTTTTGTTTACTAGCCCAAGCATATCTGGCATATGTACACTGTATTCAGCAATGTTGAAGGTAAATATGGATAAATTCGGGCAAGTATTTAAGTGACACAGCTGCAGCAAGTGATTCAATCACTGCTGTGCATAAATACCATCTCCAAAATGGCAGATCTTACACTTCCTGATGACGATCCATTGATCGAAACCAGTCAAGGTTTGAACACGCAACTTCTGCTGACGTAATTTCCGCCCTTTGGTACCCATGCTGGAACACTGTGGCCAACTTGGTTCCTATTCACAGGCAGCAAGGCTGAATACACTGAGTGCCAGGTTATGGGCACTTTGTTTGTGAGTTTTATTGTTATAATTTCTCTCCATCATTAAAGTTCTTTATAGTTTTACACTATGGGATGTTTGCTTTTGTTTCTGTTCACATGCTGAAACTTGGTTTACTGCCTGGGAGGAGAGGAAAAAGTTTAAAAAGGCTCTTTTGAAACTACACTGTCATTTATATCCACGGTGGTCATCATCCTATTGGTTACTATCAGCCAGATCGCATGATTCCCAGGAATGAATATTGGTGCCATTCTTGCTAGTCCCAAACCAGGCGCTTAAGACCAATCTAGGGATAGGTGGTCCATGGCTAACGGTGAGTGCACATCCATGTGGAGCACCGACTGAGCTCAGAAGAGCACCTGTCATTTTTTGCACGAAGTTCACCAATTAGTATTTAACACCTGGGCACTTTATTTTTCCGAATTTGGACTGAATGTTACAATTATTCACTTTGTATATGTGAAGCATTATTACTCATGTATTGTCAAATTTAATGCACTTAATTTATGTGCGTTCCACCTGGTATTTTGTTTGCTTTTGTTATAGGTTCACAAATTAGGACTGCAGCGTATACTTATCAAAGTTGCATGAATATTTATTCCTAAGCGCAACACTACTATATTTTAGTAATAAAAGCCTGACAGTGGTTCATCCACTCTCCAAATCATCTGCATGAGACACTTTACAGCCAAAGTAGCTTTAAAAATAATGGTTTAGCTGACTTCTGTTGAATTGCTGGGCAAGTTCACTTCTACATTAAAAATGTGTTTCCTTGCTACAGAACCTTTATTTTAAACCTATTATATCTTGATAAGTAAATCTTTTATATACCAAATCTATCTGGAAAATTCAAAATCTCCTTCAAATTTTTGTTTCGTTTGTGAATCTGTAATTGTTAAAACCAATCCAAATTACAGAACCTGCTTTGTTCATAAACAGCAACTTTCATAATCCCACTGAAGTTCACTCTAGGAGAGGCTGGAATAGCAGTTAGGCACTACTGAGACGACTTCTCAATGTGTTCATTATTTTCTGCCATCCAGTTCTCATTATCAAGTTTCTTTTTGACTTTCTGATTGAGAGGCATTGTTCATTTCAAAGAACTTTCCCTCGTAGTTGTTTCTTTGCCTACTTAAATGAGCAAAGCAGGACTCCTGGTGTCCCTACAGCCTAAAGGTCAGAGGGCTGAGTGTGGGAGAATGTGCAATAGAAATATAAACAACCCGGGCAACAGCAATTATGCATAATAACCCGCAGCACTTAATTATAAGATGAAGACCATAATGCATTTTTACAAATGTATGCCAATCATTTCTGATTATTGTGAAAACAATGTCTGATTGTGCACTTTTGTAAAGTTTTATAATGCAAACAAGCGATCCCCAAGATCACAGGCTGTCAGTGCTCTCTGACTACATGTAACAAGACAGATAGTACAATTGAGTGTGTTATTATTTAGCCATGAAAGGGTATATCATCCAAGATATGGAGCTCTCAGCATCATTTAACTGATAACTCTGCCTGCTTGGAGGCAAAAATTAAACATTACAGAGAGAATGTTTTTGCCGCTCAACAGAAGAAAAAGTACTGCTGATGTTTACCTTCCGTTTTTAGAAATATTAATATTTTAACCCATAAGCTATTTTTAAAGCACTCCTCTGGTTTTAGGAGTAGGACAAGATCACAAAATGAACAAAAACAATCAAAGTAAAACATTTCTATTAGTAAGTTTGAATATTTATTTACTTTGTTGCCATTTTATAGTTGTCAAGGTCCTACCTTTTCCCTGAGGTTATGTTACTCCATGTGCTGGCGTCCATCTTGGAATTCTGCTGTGCATGGTGGGAATCCTTTTATGCCTTCAGGTCTCTGAGGTCCATCCCCCAGAGGGGTGTGGCTGATGACATATAAGCCTGTGGCCCGCACATGCTCTTTGCACTTGTGTCTTGTGTCTTTGTGTTGCTATTACTCTGTTCTGACTCTCGTGACTCTCCTGGTATCTGATTCGGCTTGTGACTTGACTATTCTTTGTATTCTCCTTTGATCTGACCCTCTGTTGCTGAATCCGGCTTGTGACCTGTGATTCTCGTCTGCTGTCCTGTACTGTTTTGTCCTGTTGTTGTTGACCCGGCCTGTCTGACTACTCTTTTGTCTCTTCCACCAGCTACACGCCATTGGTGGCGGCCATTACCGCAGCTGAGGTGTCTCAGGGGCCGCGACCTGGTTCCTGGCTGCGTCAAGTCCATCCCCATCATCAGGGGCCCTGGTGAAGGGCAGCCTGGGACTTAGACTCCGCGCCCTGAGGGAGTTCGGTCTGTGGGTGGTGGTTGTCGTCAGCCAGTGAGTTACATTGTTAGGCCTGCCTGTCCGTTCCTCAGCCCCTGCCCTGACAATAGTGCAATATACACCACAGCACTTTGCAGTGTACTTTCCTATCACGTTTGCCCTGGTCTTAGCGATCATTGAAAATTTGCAATGTGATTTACAGCTTTAGGGACCCAAAGTCTAGTTATTATGGCATTTTAAAGCCCAACTCCAGGCTTGTGACTCCAAGAGAATGTCACCCACTAAAACAAACTGACAAGAGATGTAGGGAACAGCACACCAATAATAAGCCCGGTCACTGTATAAAAGAAGACAACTTTAGCTTTTCTTCCATGGAAGCCATGCTCTTCAGGCTTTTATCACTGTCCCATGGACTTAGTCATAGAGCTCTATGTATAAATCTCATTTAAGGGTGAAACGCTTCAGAGGGGAATGGCTTTCAGAGGAGACAAGATAAAGCTGTCTTCTTTTATATTGTTACTGGCCTGATTATTGGTGTCCAAGGCTTATTTTAACTAAATAGTTACCCCCTGTAATAGGTAAAATTAAAAAATGGAACTGGATGCTCCATGATAATTCCTATACGCCACTAGATGTCCTCAGGATGCCAAGTTGAATGATGCTCAACACTATTCAACCTGGATGAATTAAGACATACTTTGAGTGCTGAGCGTCATGCACCCACCCCCTTAGGTGTCACCACAATACCCTGCACTCATTGTGTAATGATGCAGAGAGCTGACATCAGCGACACTTTCTGCATCATTGAGGACTACCCAGTACTAGAGAAGAGGATGTGACCAGCCTCAAGACAAGCATAAATTACATGTTGGGAGGGCCTCCTGGGAGGAGGGCGAGTAGTAGAGGCTTACAGGAAGGGAAACACCTCAGTTGGGCCTTAAAGGGAATTATAGAGTTTCTGTATGTATTTCTTAATCTTGTATGTGATGGGGTAAAAAAAGCACTTGAAACTATGTTTCCTTTTTTAAAATCAGGTTCATATGAAATGTTCCATATTTATATTTAATATGAATGATTTCCAGTCAATATCATTAGCTTTAGGTTCCTTTTCATGCTGATCCTAAGCAGATTTTGATGCAAAAACTCAGAAATTAAAAGTTGCATACTTGCAAATATGTGTTAGCCTTTGCTTTATGAATATACAATCTTGCATATGTGTAAAGTCTGTTAGACTACCTGTGCTAAGCATTAGTGGGGATGATGGAGGTGGTGGTTCTGTCTTTAATCGTTCTGTCACACAGGATGTTCTGTAGGAACTACTTTCATTCTTTTCCAGGAAATGGGCATGTAATAGGAAGTCTATCTCTACTCTAATCCCTCTCATCTCCTGCTCATTTATCAGCCACTTGTTACTTATTTCACTAAATGCTGCTGCAATCAAATGAGAAAGGAGAAGACAGGGCAGGTCTTCGAGACGTCATACTGTTCTGTGACGTAACATGTTTTGCCTCTTATACAAATATATGAGTATGACATCACAAAGATGGCAGTGTGAAAAACCTAAAAACCTATAAACTCTGAGCTGTGCTGTCAGCAGGGATAAAGCCAAGAGAATTCTAAGTCCTGCACTGTGCCTTTACTGCATCTGGGAACCCTATCAGTGAAGCGCCAATAGAGCCCATCAGTGCTTCCAGTCAGTGTCCATCAGTGCTGCCAGTCAGTGCCCATCAGTGCTGCCAGTCAATGCTGCCAATCAGTGCCTTTCTGTGCCACCTATTAGTGCCCATCAGTGCCGCCTATCAGTGGCCATCATATCCACCTATCAGTGCCCATCAGTGCCGCATATCAGTGCAGCCTTATCAGTCCCACCTCATCAATGCCCAACAGTGCCACCTCATCAGTGCTGCCTTATCAGTGCCCATCAATGCAGCTTATCAGTGCCCATCAATGCAGCCTAATCAACGCACATCAGTGAAGGCGAAAAATTACCTGTTTGCAAAATTTTATAATAGAAATTAGGAAAAACTTGTTTTTCAAAACCTTCAGGGTTTTTTTGTTTAGGAAAAAATAAAACACCCAGTGGTAATTAAATACCACCAAAAAGATCTATTTGTGTGAAAAAAACTATAAAAATTTTAGATAGGTACAGTGTTGCATGACTGCACAATTGTCATTCAAAGTGCAACAATGCTGAAAGCTGAAAATTGGCCTAGGCAGGAAGGGGGTAAAAGTGCCCAGTAGGCAAGTGGTTAAAAGAGAAGTTCGGGATTGAAAAGAAAACAAATTTTTACATACTCACCTAGGTGGAGGCAGCATCGATCCGATGCTTCATCTGTCCCCTACCACCTCTAAGACTGAGAACCAAAGACTGCTGACTGCTTAGTTCTAAGCCTTAAGTCAGCAGAGAGCCAGTGACTGTCAGTCACCGGCTCTGTGCTTTATCCTCCAGTGCTCACTGGAGTGCTGGGCTGTGGAGGGCGTGGGAGCTGCTGGCTCAGGCTCTCAGCGGTGCGTGGAGAGGCTGAGCCAGATGCTAGTCCAGACATCTGGGTGGATCCCAGTATTAAATTTGGAATCTCTCCAGAATCTGGACCAGCTGAGTGACATCAGCTGACTGCAGACTTTAGCCCCTGTCAGCTGAATACAGGCCACAGGAGTGCAAAACTAAGTGCACTCCAGTGACCCACAGGAGAAGTATAGCCAAAGAGCTTTGGTTTATAATTAGATTCCACTACTTGTAACTTGCAATTCCAGTGTCTGCAAAACAAAAAAAAAAAACAACTTTAGGTCTGTTCTAACTGCCTTTCTGAAAGCACAGAGCTTAAAGTAGAAGGTCAAGAACTTTTGTTTTTTTAATTTGTAATTGGGCATGCTGGCAAAGGCAACCTTTAAGTACCTGCATGCTTCCTGTACTTGGAAATGTGCCTACAACAGAATGAAAACTAAAGACAGTAGCTAGGTAACAGATTGTGGTGACTATCGCGCCTCTTCCCAGACATAAAGCTACCTGATTATACTTCACATACAAACACCATTTTTTGCATTAAATGTTCCATTGAAGATGATGTAGAAAATGTAGTTTGCACTTTCTTTGCTCATGAAAATTTTTATCACTGAGTTTTTTGAACTCAACAAACCACTCTTGTTTTAAATGTTTGTAGCACTACCTCTCAAGGGCCGCTGAAATTGGTTTGGTCCCCCTAAGCTCTGCATGGGCAAGCAACATGCATTTTTCACACTTGCACATTCAAAGTCAGTAAACAGTTTTTGAACTGGTCTTTAGTTATTTTTATTAAGGGGTTAACAACTTGGAATGGGGCTAGGGTTATATGGGATGCCCAAGGAACTGCAAACTTTAGGACAAACTATTAGCAACCTGTGCACTGTATAAAATGTAGATCCGCAAATATAGCACTGTCTCTTTAAGGAACACTGTTGTCCCTTTAATGTACCTTTAATGTACCTCCTCAGACCACGGATGAATCCTCTTCTTCACCCAGCTGCACTGAGGGTATCACTGGGTAAGGGGTCCCAAGAGCTAACAATGAATGATGAGAACTAATTGGGTCTTGTGTCTGACTGCCCTTTCCCCTATCTGACCCAGGGAGTGGAGGAGTACTCACACTGTCCTGTCTTGTTAGCTTACGATGGGCTGGCTCCTTCCCTACTACACAGGTTGTCCTCCCAAGGAGACGGTGGGATAATGTAGATCCTCCCTTCCAGCAACTGGCCTGTATGTAGGATTCCCTCCCTGAGGTCCCTTCCCAGGCACCACACTCCTGCCTTCCCCTCAGTTCATCTTTCACCTGACACTCTCCCCTACTGCTCAGGCTCTATCACATTTATAAGTTGTCCTGGGCCATGCCTCTGCCAGGGGATTGGCCAAGGTCCATCTAACATGCAGATCTTGACCTCTTCCCCTCCTCCACCCCTGTTCCAGAAAGTTCTGGAAGTTTCTGGAAGAGTGGGAGGGCTGCAAAAGCCCTAACCTGTAGAAACTCCAAGCCTGTCCTGAGGTGAACTCAATACCTCACTCTCAGGCTGACTAATCCCAGGCTACTCAGCCTCCATCTATAAAAAAAACAACAAAGCCTAGCTACCTATGGTGGCGCTACATGTGCAGTCCAGAGATTATGACAAGACTTTGATCTCCGAATGCTAAAACCTATTGCATTCCTCAAAAGCTGTATTCCAGTCGTGTAATATTTTTCTTCTTTTTTTAACTGCTACACCTCTTAATGCAATTTATTACTTATGGACCACAGCAATTTTTACATTCCAGCTATTGAGTCCACCATTAATAATGATACCAAAGATACTGTATATTGTTTTATTATGGAGAAGCAAAGCTTTCTTTTGGTGTTAAGCATAAAAAAATTGTGTTTTATTTTCAATATATCCTAAAGGCAGAAAAAATATAAATTAAAAAAATTAGCTATATTCCATTTTAATCAGTAGTTGGTTTTAAATGACCTTCAACAACTTGGTACTGTAGATAGAAATGTTAAACATTTATTTTTGAAATTAGGCCTTTTTTGACTTTATTATTAGGTCTTTATATTATTATTATTATAAGTATTTTTCAATGCAGTGCTACTCAAGACTTAAAATGACACAAATGAAAAAGCATCTTTCAAAGAATAATACTAAAAATAGTTATAGAAAGAACAGGGAGGAAAAGTTCATTATGGTTAATAAGCTAAAAGTTTATGAACAGTTAAAGCAATATTAAACCCAAAACCAAAACTGTAATATATTGCAACTTACCAATTCTTGGATGTGGTAGCTGTATTAGTTTTCTTTTTTTTTAGGCTTTTTCACCTGGTGATCTGGCCAGTAACACACCTCATGTATTAGAGTGCCCCCACTCTGGATGAAGAAGTTCAGGGGTCACCTTTGAACACCAGCAATCTTAATCTGGGTGTTGGATAGATGCAAGGGTTGTGGCAGACACACAGAGCACACACAGTCTCGATTAACAAAAGATGATGTATTGCAAAAGTAGTTCAACAGTACAACCAGAGCCAGGGGGGAGGCTCACCCGATCGGGAACACTCATAGAACTGCAATATAGTGACAGCAGTATGTAGAATTAGTGACAGCATCTGCCACAAGGAGAGGAGTGCAACCTGGACAGGCCAACCCAAATGGGAAGATCCTGAGAAGGTAGACGTAGTTCCTGCTCTTTCCCACTCCTTCAGAACCTTTCTTTATCGCTAGCACTGTCCCTGCCAGACAGGGAACCTATCCCTACTGCTACCACTTGCATACAGCGGGGCCAAAACCGTAGGTCAGTTCCTTAAATAGACTCTGCTTGACCCAAAATAGCCGCCAAAATAGCCGCCAGGGTCACATTGGACCTGAGCATCTATGTTTCAATAGCCAATAAGCTATTTTATCTTGCATGCCTCTAATGGAATTTCTTTCACCTCCAATTACATCACAATATACTGTGTATTAAATAAACCAACAACTAAAAACAACAATAAGTACTGAATCAAATAAATATTAGGTAGTCGTTATGCACCCAAAACTCTATTTCATATCAAGTAGTGTTAAATATACAGTGATTAGTGCAGCGCTACATAATAAATAGTGCCTAAATTATATATAAGTTACAAAAAGGGTAAGCAAGTCCATAAATATGCATTATAATGCTTCCATCCTTCTTTCCCTAAACAAACACCAACACATCTTTGATATACTCCCCTCCACCCGCACGCACCCGCCTGGCTTTCCCCGGGCCTGCAGATGGGCAAGCTGAGCCCGGTTACATGCCTGGAGAGCGCCCGTTGGGGGGAGGCCCCAGACTGGGGGCTATGAAAGTGATTGGCGGCAGCTGCTACACACTTTGATTACTAACAGCTGCTAAAATGACCTTAGACCCAAATGCCTCTGAGGGAGGAAGCGTCACATTCACCCTGTACTGGCGAATAAAGGTATTAGATGTGCTCCAGCTAGCTGCTCTGCACACTACTTCCGCTGAAACTCTATCATATGCTGCCCAATAAGCTGCCATGCCTCGTGTAGTATGTGCATTCACCACTACAGGAGGTGGAAAACCCAGAGACTGGTAAGCCAACTGTATTGTTTTAATGATCCAGGCAGACATGATCCTTGGAGGAACAGGCGAACCTTTCTTCGGACCCAAAGGAAAGACAAAAAGATTTTCCTGCTTACGAAAATCCCTAGTCCATTCCAGGTATTTAGTCAGAGAAACCGCTAGGTCTAGTTTTTTTTCCATTCATCCTTTGGAGCGTCTTTTGGAAAAGCTGGAAGGTCCGATTCCCAATTTATATGAACCAGAATTATTCTGGGAGAGCAATTCTATTCTACTGCAAAGAGCAGGCTTGCTCTTATGGCATGGGGCTTAGAGCTGGATGCAGGAGTACTTCCATCAGAGGCTGTGGGACTCTGGGCAGCAGTTTTGCTTAGCTGTGATGCCAATCGCCACACCGAGATCACATCAGTTTTTCTAAGCATGGGACTGTCACTGTCTGGCTCCCACACAGATATCGCTGTCAGGCAGTAACTCTACACATCTCTGCAGACAGTCAAGAGTCTGTTCAAGAACTCTCATTCCTAGGAGGCCATGCTATCTACAGGATTGGTGAGTGGGTGGATGCTCAACCTCTTTCTGTCATCATTCTAGAGACACATGTAGACATCTTTACACATCAGTCACCAGGATACATTTGCTTTGAGCAATACCATTTTGCCTATTTGTTTAACTTCATTGAATTACCAGTATTCAAAAAGGTCAGATTCACAATTTATATGAAATGAGGTTGAAACCTTAGGGAGAAAGTTGGGCACCGGCCCGCATGGTTCTGTTTTCAAGCACCAAGCAGAACGGCTCTTTGGATGAGAAGGCACACATCTCTGAGCTTTAAAATGTTTATATTATTTCAAAAGTTCTGATTTTTGTAAAGCACAAGGGTAATAAAGTTGCAATGAGTTATCATAGGG